GTATATAATTATGATAATCATGATAATATGTCTTGCGTTTACAATCAGAGCCTCCTGATCATGGTTTACTGAACCACAGAAACCACTCATCTGACTGGGGAAGCTCGCATTTCGAGCACCAACTCCGATTTTTTTATTCGAAGGCACAAGCTGTATGTGTTGCAGCAGTGTTGACAACATCACTTCACACAGCTAGGACTCCTGAAATAATTACCGATTGAATCGATTTTAAGAGCTTCCATCCCCGTCCCAACCATCCTCAACCAGCCTCTTTCGGCTTGTAGGGCCGTGGACCGGCACACCAACTCACGCGCTGTTGGTATGTCTGTAATCTCTGTACTCTGAGCCCAGATTCGATGCGATCCGCGGCCGAGAACAATCGGGCGACCGGTCAGACCTGGACTCGTGTCGCTGGCGCACTAGGAGGAAGGACGCTACGAACGTAGCTCCTGGCATCGTTACTAGTAACAAGAAGCTACTAGTAGCAAAGGGCATTACTGCTAGGAGCAAGAAGCTACTCACTTCATGTCCACATGGTTTCTTGGTTTAAGGGTGTGGGGAGCTTGGATCTGCACGGTCTAGGTATACCCAAGGGTGGGGGGCCGGTATACCACCTCGCTCCAAAAACAGCGTTCGAGCCTGGACCGCTCTGTTTAAGACTCACCATCGTGCTGACCATGCACCAATTGCAAAGATGACAAGATCAATAATACATAAAATCAGTCCAACTGGCTCAACGAGCAAAGGTTCTCTGATAGGGGATGCGACTTTTGATGCTAATATAGGGCACCCTATTAAGAGCAAGAAACCGGAAACCTGAAAAAAAACCAAGAACATTAGGTCTACAATGGTCTACAATAGTTTGCAGGTCTCTGAGCTACAAAGTCTTTGTGTGGCTCAGTGCCACAAATATCTGCAGTGATTTCTTGAAAGTAGAAAACATCACAAGAAGTCCTCTTCTCAGAGCCTCTAATCTTTGGAGATGGAAAGAACACCATCCAGCCCATGAGCTGTAGCGCAGTCTTTTCCATCCACTCACTCCGCCTTCTTCGCCTGCGACGACAGGCGATTTGACCAGTTACATGAAAATGCACCCTGAAAAGCCACAAATACGAGGCTTCCTTGAGGCTGCTTGGGGCTGTGGACAGGGCGCAATTGGGCAGATGGACCTTGGATGAAGGTCCAATGAATCAATATGATCAGCCGATAAAAGAAAGTACTATAGACAAGATTGGACACCAAAGCTCTTTTAGGCGCCTTTCCACGCTTGGATCTACAATATGCAATATGCTGGAATTCTCAATATTGCTGTGGGTCATGGAACCAGGAGACCTTGGTCTACCAACGATACGCTGTCTGAGGCGCTTCCCATGACCCTTCGGTTTGACCGGGCTGCTCCAGTCGTGCAGCCACATGAATCCTTGGCACCGGACCTTCCGGAAGGTCCCGGATACGAACCCAACCCTCCCCATTTGAGGCTGGATTCCGAGGGAGTCTCTGGTATTTTGGGTCCCTTGTTGTTCCCCACGCCGCGTCGCCGCAGCTCCTTTTTCGGTCAGGCCGAGCCCGTGCGCCTTCTTCCGAGCTTTGGCGTCCTTCTCCTGGACATGCCGAGCTCTGACATCGACTGGAACACAGACGACCGTCCGGTATGACCGCTTTGGCGTCCTCCGCTCTGAACCCCCCCCCCACCCTTTTTTTGGGTGCGCAGCAAGCAGCAAGCTGCGCACAAGCAAAGCAGGGTGCATGTTGTGCCTTTTGGAAAACATGCTGAAAAAGGGCCCGAAACCGATCAGCATCTGTCTTGCCCGAGTGGATCCAAAGTTTGGTTCATCAGTTGAACCCAAAACGGGACAAACCCGGGCTGCCCTGGTAACGCCCTGGTGCAGCGAAAGCCATCGAGCCTGGTTTACTTGGTTTTCGGTGTCCGAAGGGTTCCGTCTGAGACGTGGAATCCTTCCAACCACTCCTGTGCACATTCAGACGTTCACGGGATTTGGGAGGCCAGGAATTTCATTGATCTGATTGCCATTGATTGCCTTCCCAAGACCACTGAACATCTTATCAAAACGTGGATGAGGTCCATGCGCCCCCCGAACTCGATCCTCACTGGCTCTGAAAAGACACCGGCCGTTCGTGGGTGCCCTACCGGCAGTCTGGCCTTTCTCTCATTCTTCGCCTCCGACTTCGTGGTGTCCGAGTCAGGTTTCTCCACATTCATCTGGCCGGCTGTTCTCCCAGCGCTCTGGTCTCTGTGTCTTCCCCCCGCTCTACGTCTCACCACGACCGTTTGGAACGTTGAGGGACCGAAAGAAGTTGAGGAGTTTTTTTGCGGCGGAAGGAGGTTTTTGGGGGGGGGTTCCCCCTACCAGTCCAGTCCGAACCAAGTAAAACCTCCCAACCTCGAGATTGAGCACTGCTTTCTACATGACCGGATCCAGAGGAGCGAGGGAACCTGGAATTGTTCGGTCGCTCAGTGTGTCCATCTCTTGAGGGGAACGACGGTGAACGAAGGGTTCCCTTCCGACTAGACAAACGAAAATGCAGCCACTGCCATGTCCGTTCCAACGCGTTACTTCTCATTCCCAAAGCCAGACTATAAACAAACGGAACGCACTTGACATCTCTCGAAAAGTACACCTAAGTACACCCATGAAATCAAAAGGCCGAAGTAGAATGAAGCAAATAACAATTTGAATATTACTATTATTATATATGTGCATTAATATCTGTCTATTATCAATGATGATATTAATATAGATTGATGCATGCTTATACCAAAGTATATTAGGAAACTCCTTCTTTGTCATTCCTTGGATGTTGATGCTTCTCTTCTACCCACTTCTTGTCATTTCCCTTTGCTTCCCTTTTCCGTGTTTTCGAGGCCCTGCGGGTGGCGAAAGTCTGGGGTCGAAGTCTACGCGCACCTCCATTGGGAAGAGCACCTCCCTGAAGTTGGCCAGGCAGCCCTGAAGTTGGAGTGAAGAACCAATTTGTTGCACACAAATCCCGTAGCGGTACGAAACCAAACTGCACACCCCTAGACTTCCCTTCGACCATTAAAAACATGGTTGCCCTACCTGGTGTTTGTAGTGTCAAATCCTTAGTTGATTCGGGATTCAGCCTATTAAATTCATGGTGGTTGGAAGCCTAGGGCACTGGAGTTACACTGGAGTTACTGGTGTTTTTCAGATCGAGTGAAACATGGCTTCCCGGGAAGGAGCGTTTCTGGAACATGGCCACCATTGGCGGGCAGGCTTGGCCCTGAAAAAAACTGGTAAATTCCGTTGCCGCTGCTGGACCCCCAGTTGAAGAGATGTGGATCAAAACTACAGAAAACGCCCAAGCAAACCCAGTGGTCCGGCGGTGGGAATATGGATACACGGAGGGTTCACGGTCGACCCCGGTGATTTCAGGGCCCAAGCAGATTGATGTCGTACAGGATTCTCCGAAGATGAGCTCATTGTGCAAAGCTTGGGACTCCCAGCTGGGGTGAGATGAGTGGAATTTCTGGGAACATTCAATATACTACGAAGCTTCCTGTGGTTCCAATTTTCGACTCTTCGCTTCACGCACAAACGGTGCGAGATGGAGTCGGGCATTGCACAGATTCAGGGTCTCATGCGTCTTGCACGTTCGCTACCAAAGCAACACCGCACGTTCGCGGTCTCTGTGTGGGTCCAGCGGTCACGAGAGAGTCTGCGGTGTCTGTGTTTCCAAGAAACATTGAAATGAGGCTGATATGGTTCTTCAGGCTTAAACAAGAGAACCCGACCAATACCACACATCATCTGTGCGGAACACCAGGATGTATATCTTTAAGGTGGTTACTGATTCTACTCTGCTGGTCCAGCTGGAAAGCCCTCAACCCCCGCTTGCCATCATCCGTATAGCTACTGATTCATGCAGAAAATGTCCACAAGTCTTGTAACAGTTGCCTGGAACCCCCAAAGGGTAATGGTCCAAACCCTGGCCTTCAAAGACCATTTTTTCAAGAAACTGTTGACCAAGAAATGGTTGTTTGGTTTTAAAGGCAATTAAAACAACAATGGTTCTGACAATCCCTGGTAGAAAGGTGCCTTCACTTCATTGTCCCTCCTCAGTGTGCATCCAAAGTGTTTCACCTTGAGTGTGGAGTGTTTCCAACTAATTTGAAGACACCATGAAATACAACGACTCCTGAGTCCTCCTTTTTCGCATCACCCGACAGTCTTCGTCTTCGTCTTCGTCTTCGTCTTCGTCTTCGTCTTCCTCTCTCGCCGACCCCCGACGTTGCTACTCTGAGTCGTACGAGTCGTACGAGAAAGTCGTACAGGAACCCTGTGATAAAACTGCAGTCCCTTGATGCAACCAGGTTTCGACTGGTGACTGGGTCATGTTCACCAAAAGCAGCCACAATTGACCAGTCTTCAATGACAGAACATGTGGTCTGAATCATAACGTAAGTGAAATGTATACCAAATATATACCAAATGAAATGAATCTGAAATGTATACCAAATGTAAGCAGTCAGTGACTGGCGTCTTCTATTTTGGGCCCCACTTATTTCAGCAAACCTTGATGTGCCTCGTTCGATGGTGGCACAAACGCTTGGTAAGGCGACGGGACTTGCCCTGAGTGCACCAAGTCGCCAAACGATCGGATCTGATCCGCAATGTTAGACTCTTTCATTCATAAGACCCATTATGGTAAAGAGTCTAAGAGTATCCGCAATGTTAGACGGTTGAATCGTAAAACACCCTTATGGTAATAGGATGTAATAAGGGTGTTTTATGATTCAACCGTCTACGTGCGACCTGTGCGGTGCCATGCGCACACTCTCCCAAGTCGCAGGATCTCACGATCCCTCGGTCCCCCATATTGGGGTGCCCGATTTCTCTCCCGAACCTGAAAAAGAGGGGGGTGAACGTCAATGCCGGCGCTGATAGGTGTTTTAAACATGTTGGGAAGCAACCATACAAGCAGAGTCTGGAGTTCTTGCACTCAGGTGCTTCTAGCCCTCAGGTCGTCTGTGCCAGCGCACAGTTCTCAGGAGCGCTTTGCCGGCGACTGGAACGCGGAGCCAAAGCACCTGAAACACTGAAGGGGAACCACACACCTGGAGAGTTGACCTGGAGAGTTGACCTGGAGTGCTCTCTGAGGACGCACTTCTATTGCAAAAGGCACGAGCAGGACATTCAAGTCACGGAATCCGTTTTAGCGCTTGATGCTTGGTACGCTTGGTACTTGACTGGCAAGCTTGGACCATGGAATCCTCAACAAGAGATGGATTCCCAACAAATCCTCGCTTAAGGATTAGTCTTCTCCCAGATGCTACTTGAGACTAGGTGACTAGCTGTTGCTGATCTAAGATCTGCCAACCCTACCGGAACATCTCTGCTTTCCGCTCAGCTCTTCGCAAAAGAATCGAGCCTCAGACCAACCAGCTCAGCACCTTGGGTCCTCGTTTGGGTCGGACTCTGTGCCGCACCTCGGCGCTCCCTGCTGAAGAAGAGAGCTTGGAAGCGCTGCTCCTCATCCTCTTGCTTCTTCAAACTGGCCGGTCACCGTGGCAGCCGGTGGTCTGGGGGCTACAAATATCATCCAATAATATCAAAATAATATATCTACAAATATCATCAAGCAATGTCTATAGTCCATCGTCTTTTCCATGGAACCACTTCAAAGGGATGGATACAGCACGACCCGTTCATAGCCCCTTTGTGGTCCACCTCTCTTTCAAGATGAGAATTTATAGGAGAGTCACAAGTGCAAAACGGCCAACGGCCAGACCCTTTAGATTATGCGGTTTCTCAGGCCCCCCCTGTTGATGGCATTGTTTGGCCTGGCAATGAACTAAATGGCATTTAACGATACACGATCCTCCTGTATCTCCTTTACATCTGGAGTTGTGCAGGAGCTCCCACAAACAATTCCTCCTTCCCAGAACTAAGTCATCATACATGGTTTCTGTGCTGCATTCCATCAAAAGATCAGCATCTTACAGCCGACTAGAGTGACTCACATCCTGAGTCCATGTCCATCAAAGAAGCTAGACCACTTCGCACCATCTCCATTTGCTCCTGGATGGTTCTTCATATGGGATCATATGGGTGTGTATTATAAGACCCCTGGAAGAAGGAAAATGTTCCAAAACCCTTTGGGCCAGTGGGGTTCTCCCGGAAAACAAATCCACCACCATACCCCACCCATCGACCCACCTGTCGCTCCACGACCACCTACTTCTGGGCTTCCGGACTGTGCAGCAATGCTGGTCTCTCCCAGTGAGGATGAATTCAGCTCATCACGTGTTTCATACTCCAGCAAGAGGCCTCGAGTTGGGGTTTGGAAGGCGACTGAAGGCGCCTTCCATGCTTTTTGGACAGGCCCGCGAGATTCGACGTGTTCGATCGGAGAGTTGGGGGATTCACATGGCTTTATTTCTATGGAATTGGTCAAACAACCAGTTGCAGAATCAATTCCGATGGTATGACTCAAGGTGCTTGGAACCTCAGGCATTTCAAGCCAGGTCAAAAAAAAGGTACGCACAACGTGTGCCAACTCATCACGTTCGTAGCATGTCATAGCCATTCAATGCCTACTACTAGTAACATCTAGATCTAGTAACTAAGAAGCTACTAGAAACAAGGGTATCGCTACGAACGGAGCAAGAATGCTCCTAGTAGAAATGCAATATCTCAATCATCTGGGTCAAAACCGACCCTCAGACCAACCCTCAAGATTCCAGCTCGGGAGAACGGACACCTCCAAGCGGGGAGAACGGACACCGTCCGTGGGGAGAACGGGATGAACGGCCCTTTGGGCGCGTTCGGCCCTTTAGCGTGGTAGCCGTCTTCCCGGATGCGCCACTCTCTCTCCATCTTTCATCCCAGTGACGGTAAAGAAAAACCCAAGCCTGGAAGTGCCGGTGAGGTTTTAATTCGTAGTGATTGAGCTCCACTGGGGCTACAAGTAGGAAACCGTCCCATGACCCGCCTTTTCGGAAAGCCAACTCCCCTCACTCAACAAGGTGTCTGAAAAAAGCGGGAGGACACCTTCAGATCTGGCCAAGGAGCCAGACTGACGGAAGAACTCCACAAACTCAGGCCAAGTCATGGTTGAATGGCCGTCTTGTCCCAACTCGCTGAGAACGCCCTGACGCCGTCGGAATGGACGAACCCCTTCACGCTCGGGTCACTCTCCGTGGACCTCTCCGTCGAGTCGGTCGGCACCTTTGGTCAGAGCGCGGGGGGTTGGGAGTCGCTTCTGGTGGTGGACAGGGCTCTGGAGCTTCAGTGTGTGACTGACTTGAATGTGTTTCATAAGAGGGGTCTGGAAGCTGGAGAAAAGGGGGCTGCTTGGGTCAAAAGCAGCTGCTGCGGGAGTGAGATTCAGAACTTCCAATTCTGATCTTCGGTCAAAAGAAAGCACTGGGAGCCATCAGAGCTTAACATCTGGAGAAATCCATACATTGTCCTATTCATGTTGGGGAAGTGAACTACTTGGTGAAGCAAGCTTGGAGGGTACTCCGGAGATGTAGCTCAGTTCAGACCAAAGAACCTAGCCAGGACCATCCAGTGCGTCTCCAGAACCAGGAGATCTCTATATGTACATGCGCTGGGTAGCCCCAACACACCCAATGATCCTGCAAATGTTGGACGGGGTCCTTGGTAACCCAAGTTTTTTGGGGTGGCACCCTTGGCACCCCATCCCCAGCCAGGTCTAGACCCGAAATCGAATGGTATTCTCGCCCCTGTCTGAATGACGCCTGTGTCCTGAATGTGGGCCTGCCTCAAGTCTACATCAGGGAGAAGTCCCAGTGTTTTGGTCCCGTGAAAGGCCAAACCAAAGGCCAAACAGTTGAAAAGGTTACCTTTCTGCCATTGAGCGTATGCCATCCGCACGCGCAATGCTCATGAATTCTCCAAGCCCGACAGATCGACTCCTCCAAGTGCTTGGCGGCTGACGAGTGCTACCAAGCAACACGGACCCACTGCATATCATCCTGCGGGGTCATGGGGAGTCAGCATGGAAGCCGCCGGGTGGTGAGTTCAGAAGCCGTTGAAGTGCGTTGAAGTGCACAAGCTTTACTCCCACAAACTGTCAACACCATATGGTTGTATTAGAATAGGGAGACCCTGAAAAGAATTGCTGCAAGAAGGAAAATCGAGGGCGGCATCAGGATTGAGTGCTGACATGGTTATTGCTCGTACATTGATCGTGGTTGACGAAGCAACAGATGATGGTTGTGAAGTGTTCGGGTTGGTCGTCGACCTTGTCAAATGCTTCAACCGGATCCCGAGGATCCCGTTGTTAAGGGCACTGATGTTGATGGGTATTCCGGTTGCTTACCTTCGCGCCCTTGAAGGTATGCTTGACGATGTGGCCAGATATGCCGAACTTTCGCACCAGATCGGACAACCTATTCGGTCCACCTGTGGCTTTCCCGAGGGCTGTGCGTTCAGCGTTGCTGTCATGCTTATGTTGAGTGTGTGGGCGTCATCCTATTTAACTTTTCATCATCCCGAGGTTGAACCCAACTTTTTTGCTGACAATTGGGGAATTATTTGCAATACATCCAACACTCTTCGAGCAGCCACGAGGCGATTGGAGATGTTCACATATTGTTTGCAAATGGCTATTAGTCCTGAGAAGAGTTGGGTGTGGTCCAACACGTCCAAAGGTCGGCAGAAGATTCAACATACAGCCATTTACGGTCGCCCAGTTGCTGTCTACCATCGTGCCACGGACCTTGGTTGTGATGTTTCCTATGGCAAGGCCAAGGTCAAAACTAAAAGTCGATTACGTTTACAAAAGACCAAACGGGCCCTCGACCGGACACACCGGAAGATGCTGCCTAAACAGTTCAAGAAGGTGATGACCAATACCATTGTCACTGGAGTCATTGCACATGGAGCGGCATTGGTGAACCGCACGGAGGCTGAATGGCGAACAATACGTACCTCCATGGTGCAATGTTTGGGTAGGTACCGCTCCGGGGCTAACCCCTGGCTATCCACAAGTGTTTGCGGCAAGTTGACCGATCCTCAACTTGCTGATATCCTTCGCAAATTTCGCTTCTGGAGGAAATATTTCTGTTTTCATCCTTGGGATCGCGCGGGATTCTTGCGACGTTTGACTTTGGATGGTCAGAGATGTGTCGGTCCAGCAGCCATTCTACAAGCGGCACTGGTTTGCGTGGGTTGGAAATGTTTATCCGGGGGTGTTATTCGCCATAGCTCCGGATTGAAGGTCAATTGGATCAATGACTCCTTTAAACATGTTCGACACATCATGCATGCAGCTTGGACTCACCAGGTTTCGGTGCAACTTGCCCATAGGAAGGGTTTTGACATTGCGGCCTTTGACCAAGCAATCTTCGACAAATCTTTCAGCCAGTTCGATGAGCGAGATCGAGGCTCCTTGTTGGCACTTGCTGTTGGCAAAAATGTTACACGCAACGCCCTTTGTCATTATAGTCGAAATGTCAAGGATGACAAGTGTGCATTATGTGGGGAAGTCGACTCCAAACAGCACAGAGTGTTTCATTGTGGTGCTCTTCAGGAGTTGCGCAAAGAATATCACGTGTTGTTTAGAACCTTGGGGCAGATGCCCGAAGCGTTCTGGAATTTCGGCATTGCAGAAACGTCTTGGGAGGGGTGGCAGGTGAAGTGTCAGTTGCCAGACCAGTGGCCGGCACTCTCAGTGCCTCCTCAAGCAAGCCCTTGTACTGTCTTTTCTGATGGGTCGGCCTTCTTACAAGACACACCGCAATTCACCATCTCCTCAGGGGCGGCTATTGCAGTTGACGGGGATTGTTGTTCAGTATTGGAGGCCTCTTTGGTCCCAGGGGCTGATCACAGTTCCTACCGAGGAGAGGCGTGGGCTATTTTGCTAGCCTTGGAGAGTGTATGGGCTCCACAGTTTTTCACGGATTGTTCTGCTGTTGTGGACTTGTTGCAATCCTTTCTCATGGCGCGTTGCCTTGGCACACATATTGTACCATGCAAACATTGGGATATTTGGCAGTGCATTCGGGTTCACATCCTCCAACGCCCACCCAATCTGATACACATCACCAAAGTTGACTCGCATGTTGACTGGCAAACCAGTAGTTCTGCGTTTGTCAGGTGGGCGGGAAGATGGAATGACGTTGTTGACAGGGTTGCCAAGCAAGTCATCCTGCACGACCACAAGAGTGTGTTGAACAAGTTGACAAAGCTGGCCGGGGATGTTGAACATCAGGCACAGAGACTTCACGACTTCCACAGGTTTTGGGTTACAGCCACGACCAAAGCTATGGCAAAGTCGGATAACCAACACAATTCGACTACACAGACAACACCTACTTTTGACAATTTTTTTCTCACGAAAGCCGTGTACTTATCCGTTTCATAACTTGGGTGACGATGTCGGCGACGATGCACCTTTCGGTAAAGAGTTCACGGACAGGTTTTTACAATGGTTCCAACACGTTGGTTTCATTGACAACGTTCCTCACGAACAGGCTTCTAGTTTGCTCGAGCTCTACGTTTCATTTGCACTATCGACAGGAAGTATGACTCCGGTCTATGTTCGTGCTTTTAAGAAAAAGACTAAAGCAAGGCCTTCGGCCTATGTCCTTCGGGAGAACTCTCTTGCAGCAGACACTAGTGCGGCAGATCTGAACGGTCAGCTTCGGATCTTTGTGCAATTCATGAAGTGGGTGTCTTCACACCTACATGCCTTCTCGTTTGTTTGCACCCGAGGCGGTCTTCGACGCTTGGGTTACCTTAGCGCTACCACTTACATTAGTGGGCAGTTCGTTGTTCCGAACGGACATGAGGTTTGTACAGCTTTATGGGAGTACTTCCATCAAGGAAGGCGTTCCACTTACAATTTGAAGGCGGCCTGGCGGCCGGGAGTGAAGGTTCGCCACACGGATGAACCATACGGCAGTTAGCATTTTCCATTTTGCACGATGCTGAGGATCTAATTATGTTCACCTTACGCAAAGCTGAGGGTGACCATGGCAGGCGACGCTTGCATGAAACGCCAAAGACCAAAAACCCATTGGTTGGCTGGCTCCTTGTTGAGACACCAAACCCATTGGGTTTCCTCCCTGTCACTTTGTAGTGGGCAGCGGTAATCCGCAGGCTCCCAAGACGGTGGGTCGCCGGTTCTATCATGTTATCGTCAGGTTGTTTTGTTCACCAACACCTCGAAACACCTGCAGTTCCTGTCTTCTAAGTCAGGTTTTTTGAATCTTTCTCCCTTCCACCAGCTTGAAAGCCACTCTTCCACTGGCCCGTTCCCCCCGTCCGCTCTCGCTTCGCTCTCCCGCATCTTCCCGCTCTCCCGGCTCAACTTGCCAGCAGTGGGGCGCTCGGAGGGCTTCAGTTGCCAGATCCCACTGGACTTCTCCTTGCACCGAAGACGGCGACACTCCCGAGGTCAACTCACATAGACCCGGGTCCTTCCTGGTCCCATGGAAGATGGTTTTCCTCTACCAACCAGGGGTTTTCAGGTTCCATGGGATCGTCTTCCAGGGTGTAGGCTTTGGATCTTTCAGTGTGGGGTGGATGGTTTGCGGTGGAGGTCCAGGCATGTCCAGGCTGCGTTGCTTATTCATTGGTGTGGAGGGCAAGAAGATGGAAGCCGTTTGTATCCATTTTACCTTCTTGCAGTAGACAGGCTTACCCACTCTGGAAGTGGATGGCATGGCTCCGAAAGGAATGACCATTTTCTGAATCCCAAAAAGGTGGTGAACTCCACTTGCATTATTAATTATTTCAGGGAGTGCACATCCCATCCTTGTCAAGAAATGGGTAGGTTTGGTATGCCTGGTGTGCTTCTTTTCTTCAACATCATGCAAGAACCGGACGTTGACTCCCAGAAATAGACCGGAAATAGATGACCTTGAAATCATGGCTTCAAAATCCATTTCAAAATCATGCAATCAGAAATGGATGACCAGGATGTCAAGGTCCATCCTGGTGGCCTTGACCCTCCGCTTTGGACGGCTGCTACGGCTGGGGCTATAGAGCATCTTAAAGCAACACTGTTCTTGTTGGTGCTGGAGACCGCAAAAGAATGCATGTGTCCTCAGTTCATGCCACTTGTTAGGCGATCTCAAGCAGGCGCCAGATTGGAACAACCTGTGTCTTTTCGGGTGGTCCCTCTGCCTTGACCCTCTGCAGCTCTCGAAAGCAACACGTCGTCGCCCATGTCACCCCATGTCCATGACTGATGTGCAAGTTCAACCAAAACCTATCCATGCAGTCACAAAGTAAAGATAGTATATACAGTAGACCCTTCCCAATGGCGCCTCTCGAGAGGAACCATGTTACAATGTCCGACTTCCTAATCACTGTCATTGTTCATTGGACTTCGCAGCTCAGCTAAACATCTGTGAATCACATCCTCTCTCCACGGCGAGGTCCTTCAGCAAGTAGATCAAGTCCATGATGTCCTGCGACTGCCATCATGTAGACTCTTGATCAGTAACAAAAGTACAGTAACCCTTCCCATACTTATATAAGTTATGATTATGATATGTTAATTAATGTTAATTGTATTATGTAAAAAGAGGTTTTACAATCCAAATGGGAGGCAAGTTATTCATCAAGAGGCTACCTTATATGCTCATCCGTTTGCGGATCAATCACCGACCTCAAGCTGGGATTGGTCGGCGACGCTTCCAGGACATATCAGATGCTTCACTATAAACAATGAGTATCCTGCCGTCATATAAAAATAGAAAATCGAACACTTAGTAGAAAGAATCTCAAACGGTTCTGAGAACAGCTCAGAAGTAGGTCCCTGAAACATCTCTTAAACCATGTTGGGTTATTGAAAGATATTGAAGGTCTTCGTGTCCTAAACACGGGGCGATGGGATTTTCATGGATTTTCTGCCATGTCATACCCAGTGCGACCACTCTCAGTGTCCTCGAAGTCGGTTCACATACCCGCTCAATGGTGGTTACTCACACTGTTTAAGAATTATTTGCTCCAACCCAAAGAGACTGCGGCAGATCCTGGAAAGGTACAAACTCCCTCACTCCCTAAAATGGAAGTAAAGCGGCCCCGATTTCGGAAGAGCTTCTTTCGGATACAAAAAAAATGTGTTTTTTCCGCTCCACGATCTTCCATGTCAGTTTCAGGGAGGGTACAGAGTACTGCACATCAAATTCAAAGAACAAAGGAAACAGATTCCTCCAAGCTTCCCACCATCCATCAAACCCATCGGATCGAGCCACCCACGGTCACGGTCGAGCTATGTGTTGCGAAACCGCCATCGGTACGGGCGTGCGTTGCATTCACCATCATGCGCCATCAAAATGTACGTGTTTCAAGTTGTTGGGTACGACACCTTGCTTTGGTGGGTGCTCAAATAAGGATCCTTGCTCTGCAAAGCTTGAACAGGCCTTTTTCGCCTATCCGATCCCATCTGTATCCCCTTGCTCTGTCAGGTCCCAGTTCAGGTCTCCACCAATCGAAGGGTGGCTGGGTCCCAGATTCCAAGATCCATGTGGGACCTCTCTCTCTACGGAGTGCACAAGAATTGGAGACCTTTCTTCGCTCTTTTGCGGCGGTCCATTGGGGCTTCAAGGACGATTCTGGAACCCCCCACCGAGCCCTCGCCTGGCGGTTTGCTTGACCTCTCCGTGGCAGGTTTGCCCTGCTGTTCGGTCAACAAAGGCAGAGGCCACTGCTGCACACAGCGACTCAGGATGTCGATGGCTCGGACTCAAGACGAAAGGTGCGGTGTTCGACGGGTGTCGCCCCCATGAGGGTTTTTTTCAGAAGCCCAAAAAAAGGGATGGGTGGGGGGGCGGAGGCCAGGCGGCGGAGACCTACACTCCCTAGGCCTGGCATGATCATCCACCGCCTGCTCCGAACTCGGGGCCTTGCGTTTTGCACGTTCCATGACGAAATCTCGTGTACTCGGCCCGAGTACAGAGGCCGAAGAGGATGACGAAGAGGATGACTTTCAGAGTGGTCCATGTGGCCAATCTCGGACTTCCCTCCCGGCTCCTGATATCTCATCATTCCGATGATCAACTTCCGCACAGTGATCTCGCCACTGTTGTTGGTATCCATGAGTCTGAACCACTCCTGTGCCAACGTGCCAAGAGCTGCATGGATTGGTGAAGAACGACCCCCTCGATTGGTGAAGAAACCAAAATTCTTTGGGTTTGAAGTGCCATGTTTGGGTCCCTGAGCCTGTAGGGCCGTTCATTACAGCTTCCAAGCATGTTCTTCCTAGTAACAAAGAAGCTACTAGGTTGGAGGCCATCGCTCTCCGGTTGGAGGCCATCGCTACGAACGGAGCAAGGACGCTACTACATATTCCCATCTTGACGCCTATTAAAAGGTGACTGGAAGAGTCACGAGACCACCACCCTGAGTCGGCTCACGTCCAAAGGTGCCGGTCGTCCTTGGGTGAAACCCCCAACAAGCAAGTCATGTGGCATGGAGCAAGTGGTTCTGTGCAGCAAGTGATACCAGTGCGGAGGCCGCTACACTTCCTGAAAAAAGCATGGGCCAACGGCGGCCAACGTGACCCCGCATGCGGTCGATGATGTCATTTTTGTGTTCGATGCAAACAACAATGTGCAATTTGTATACATGCATAAAATGCATTTAAAAAAAATTATGAACAAACAACACATGTAAACGGAATGATGTAAACAGGACAAGTCCAAACGGTCTGCCTGGCGACATGACTGGGAGTGCGCCCGGCTGCGCCCGGCCTCCAAGCGCCGGATGTTGTAGGCCACCCCCGCGCGCGGGCGTTCCAAAGCCGCCACCGGCTGACGAATCTGTGCCAGCAAAGGCTTCTTCTGTAAGGTGGCCTTCGAGAAAAAGAAGAATCGAGGGTTGATGGGGGAATGGAACTCGCCCCAACCCTCGCCAACCCATACCTGCCATACCCAGAAGTCATCACATAAAGTCTGAGTTTTCTCCTCAAAGGCTTACAGGATCTTAAGACCAGTTAACACTCTCCAGATGTCCATCATTCGCCTGTTGGGCCGCGGCCGCCATCTGCCGCGCGCGCCGGCTCCGGGGCGACTCGGGATTCTCCTGCTCGCGCCGCGGACGGCTTGGTCGCTGCGGCGACCGTGGTCGCTAAGCGTCGCGAGGGGGCTGGGAGGCGGACGATGCGAACAGGGAGGACAGGTGGAGCTTTGGTGGAAGAACGGAAGGACAGGGGGGCTGGCGATCGATCGATCTCGCCAAGGAGTTGGGGTAGTTTGGAAGAAAGAACTGGAGGGTGTCATACGGAACACACCTAGACGGAGGATGATGGGTGTGAGTCCACCTGTAGCCACCAATTGTATCAAATTGTCATCGATGGAATCAGCTTCAAAAACCTGGATCTTCGAAACAGCACACAGAATTTGCCTTTTCAAGAGAAAAATGCCGTTATGACATCTTTTCCTTCAAGACGGTGCAGTTTCACGGGCAGAAACCAAACAGAAACGGCGTTAAACGGGGCGTCCCGACGGCGTCTTTGGGAATCCAAAACTTCACTGAAAAATGCATGCGGCAAAAACTTGTGCCGTTTGAAGATCCAGGCAAAAAAGGTAGGTTCAAGACCAAAAGAAGACTCGTCCTTTAAGATGGCGCCCATGAAAAACTCGACTTCTTGGAAAAGAACCTCGTGCTCTCTTGAAATCCTCCCAAAACACTCCATCCTAAGCACCTGGTAGCGTCTCTGCCCCTTTGCCTCTATGCTGGTGTGACACCACGCCTGGCTTACTATAGCAACTTTCACATGTCCCTGAATGCTCCCATTTAAAAATACATGTCCCCAAATCAGGGCAGGGGAGGTGGAACTCGTAGATAAACAACCCGTGGCAACCCATTGGGAACTCATACATAACGCGTAGCCGTTTTCTTTCAGACAAAGCTTGTTCCTCCAACCCGTGGCGAACCCCTAGATATCCCGTGGCAACCCATGGAGACCCCGTGGAAATCTATGGGTTCTTGAGGGTTGCTCAGAAGAAAGGCTATGTTTTGACCCGTAGCCCTAGATGCATGGATCCACGTTGGTTTGTGAAACGTGGCATACGATGTACCAAGTGTAGTCCGAGAGAAACTCAAAAAGCCTCTCAAAATACACGATTAGAAACAGCAACACTCACCATTAGCTTTAGACTCCAGATAACACATCGTGTTTTTTCCCCAAAAGACACATTTTTGTTGAGAACCCACGAACTTGCCAGTTCTTGGGCTCCCATGGTGCAAAAACTGATGCTGCACATCCACCGAAGTCTCTCTCAGACTGACACTTCGAAGCATTTCTTTGGAGACCGGTGAACCCAACTGTTCACCGGTTCTGGTTCCAGTGGCGCGAAATCCCTACCCTTCCCTACCTTCGCTACTTCTCTTTCTCCACTTCTCCACAGAACTGTGGCTGGACAGGGCGCGAACCGGTCGCCCAACGCAGCGGTAGGTTCGACGACCGCGGTGCGGTAGGTTCTCTCCTGGAGGTTGCTGTACTTCCTGTTCTGCTCGCAGTTGGGCGGCTTGAAGTAGTAGTCCGAGTTGTCGGGAGCCACACGCTGAAGGCGACTGCTCAGCTGACCTGAAAGCGAGCTGCGAGGATCCCCACAAATTCACCCACTTTGGAGGCCATCGCTAGTAGGTTGGAGGCCATCACTAGTAGGTTGGAGGCCATACCCACAGGGAGCAAGGATTGACCAGACTGCGCAAGGTAGGGAGGAAAGGACCTGAAGTAAGACTGATGTTTAACAGGTGATTGTGGCCACTTCTCAGGAAGAGGAGTTAGATGAGTAGATTGAGGTTCCAGGTTCAAGATGATTCAAGCATTTTCACTTGCAAAGCTTTGGGCCCACTAGAATATACATTCACATCCTCCTTTATAAGATCAATGGCTCCAACTCGCAGGAAAAAGACCAAAACTCGACCCATCGCCCAACTACCAACGCATCGTCGGGTGGCACTGGTACTTCTTCCCCATCTCCAGCTTATCAGTGTGCAACAAGGCCTCCGCGTGGGTGACCTGCATTCAGCCCAAACGGCGGTCCGGACCATCCTTGGGAGACCGAGACTGGAGACCGGGTGGAGACCGGGAAAGCGGACCGTGACCGGTCTGGAACAACGAGTGGAGGCCACGAGAAGACCGGCTAAGAGGGTCGGCTTGTTTTGAATGAAGACGGTTCTGGAACATGAACAGATTGACACTCAATGAAACAGATGGACATTCTGGGCACTCCCCCATGCCCAAGCCGGAAAAAGGAAGGAACCCGCCTTCGTCCGTCCTCCTTTCCACCCCTTCACTCCGCCTCCCGCCTGATCCGACTCGGTGACTTGCCAGCCCTTCAAGCCCTGGACTAAGGCCTGCAGGTGGTTCCACGCGGATGTGGCGGCGGGTGGATGTGGCCGCAGGTGTGGTTTCGGTGTGGTGCGTGAACCCACACTGAGGTATGAGGGATTTAGGGTTTTGGATGGTTCGAGGTCATACGGTACGTCACCTCTAATGCTGTCCCGAGATGTTGGGGTGTCGGTCAGACCTGCTTTTGGTTCACTCCAAGCTTTGAGAATCTCATCCGCACACAGACCTTGCCGTGCGAGTTTCTTAGGGATTAAAGATATTTCTAGACACTCCGTCCCAGGAACAGATCCAACGTGAGTGTGAAAAAGCACCTCAATGTGGACCACCTCTAGTTGCATTTTCCACCAGGCTTTGTTGGCAAGGCTCTCCGTGTTTTGGAGTTCCTTTCTGTGTGCCATGAACTGTCACGTGATTCGAGTTCTCAGACCCCCCCCAAGGGCCAGTCCACTTTCCTAGAGTTTCGTTGTAATTATACACAACAAGTTCCATTGATGCTTCCCACCCACGTGCCCATCCTCCGATCACCCCGATCACCCTCCAAGGTACCGTCTCGTGTGGTGACCAACTTGCAGGATGACAAGGGCCCCGGTACATCCCATAGCCGCTGCCTGCCTCAACCCCCGAGACGGACGCGACGTCATCCGAAGAATGGCAACTGGTTGATGTTGGGATCTCGAGCAGGGTAAAGGGGGGTCGGATGCGGCATAGTGAATCTGCATGGATTCACCCACAAAACGACAATGCCTGCGATGCGACCGGATCCATTCCGTCGAGGGATTGAGGTTTTGTTCAGCACAAGTTGGTGTGAAAAAGCTCGAGAGATGGTTTGTTGGTGAGATGAAAAGGATTCTTTTCGGGGAAGCCTCCCTACACCTGGCTGACCTCCAGTACCTCTGCGCCGATTCAGGTGCCGGATTTGGAAGATTTGGTTTTATTGGGTGTCGGGGGCTCCTAAGGTACATCTTTTGAGCTGACACATCTCAAACCATTGACTGCGATGGCCTGGATATGCTGAAACTCCAAAGGTTTCAATCAGCAATGCTTGCAACGTGGGGGCAACAATGCAATTGGATTCATATCTCGAACTTGGAATCTCGAACAGATCTTTGAAGTCCCACAAGACTCGCGATCGTCGAAGTCTGAGCCAAATTAATAAAAATGTGAAGCATAGGAAACACTTCACCACCTGCACGCACCCGCGGCAAAACGCCTGGTGTCGGCGACAGGCTTGGCCCAAGAAGCTTCCGCGATCACCTGGGGAAGCGCCACGTGACGCCACGTGACATCAATCGCTGGTGGTTGGGAGGAATGCCTGTGCTTGGGTCAGCAGGAATTCATAGGAAATGTCGTCAGTTTGTTGCATGTTATCAGGTGATCAAGTTTCCCTAAAAATCTAGGAACGAAATGAATAATACGAGCGTTTCTTCAAGGAAGCTCCCTAAGAAGCGTGAGCTATCCTACGTCCTAAGTAGTAGCTTAGCGACTCAGTAGCTTCTACTAGCTACCTACCTAGCTAGCCTACCTCACCTCTAACGGCCTACCCCCCCCCAAAAAAGTGCTTATCTATGTGAGCGTCGCGGGCGCTTCGGACTCCCAGCCGTCTCAGGTGAGAAGGGAACAGCAGTGTCTTTCCGTAGGGCGCATCCCTGAGGAAGGTAGGAACAGAAACCCGCTGGCACCCACCCCGTGGCCGAAAACGGAGGACGTTTCGCAGGACTGGTGGGAGTCCGGAGGAAGTGGCAGCTTTCTAGGAGCGTGTGTGCCGATGTGTTTCCCGTGTTTGCATGTCGGAAAAGGACCAAAAGAGGCTGAAAGCAAAGGACGACGATTGAGATGAAAGCCTTCAAAGCGTCCACTGAACGCCAATTCTCCTCAAGACAAATGTGTAGTTTTGAGCAGAGCATGCAGGTCTTGGGAGCGCGGAGTCTCTTCGAGAGTGGGTAGAAGCCTGACTTAGCAACAGTCAGCAACATTCCAAGCAGCTGCAACTGCTCGCCTACTCTTCGAGCATGAAACCTGCCCCCAGCTGGGGTCACGTGAAAACCATGGAAAACTGCTGGGGGTTCTTCATGGTACTTCTTTTGCAGCTATTGCCCATGTCCTTGGTGCAGGCGGCTACTTGTCATGAAGACCCTAGTGCCCTATGGTGGGTGTTGCATGAAAATCTCGATATCTTAGGCATCTAGAGTCTGGAGAATTTTGGTCCCGAAGCCATGTCGACACTCGGCTCCTCAAGCCCCCTTTCGCGCATTTGGGCCGCGCACGTTTGTCCATGAGGGCTTTGTTCATGGCTTCAGCCAGAGTCCTCAGAGAGAGTTCACCCTAGTCCAGGGAAGGCGGTGGATATTGAAAGCCGGGAAGCCCCACTCCGACCGAAATGATCCAATGAATCAGACCCATGGAACATGGGTCCTATATTGGTCCTATATAGCATCCTATAGCAATGTTTTTTTTGAAATGGGCGCGAAAGCCTCACTGGAGTCCAGTCAACCAAGCAAGAAGAAACTGGCCGGGCTTGATGTTCTTCTTCTGCATGAAAAAAACGAGATCGAAAACCGTTGCCTTCCTTGATGTTCTTCTCTGTCTTCTCTTTTCTTAGTGGTTTCATGGCACGTCCCACGTCTCATGGCACATCCCAGGCACGTCCCTTTGGGTTTGGCACCGCTATCCACATTGCCCGCTTGCCCTTGAAGCCTCGTGAGGTACCGCGAGGTACAGCAAACAAGTCTTTCATGCCGGGAAAGCAACGGACCGAAGGGTGAGCCAAACGGGGAGTGCCAATATTCTCTTCAGTCCACTCGCCATGTTGCGGGCGGTTGAATGGAAACTAGCTGAAACTCTTTTTTCTGCGGCGCGCGACCGTGTTGCCAAAATCACCTCAAATGGGATGTGCCCCAAAAAATGATGTGGCTCCCGCATGCTTAAGTCAGGCCGTCATTTTCTGCAAAAAATGACTGACATCCAAAGCTCGAGTTGTTCCATTCTGGGTGAACTCGGTCCAGGTGAAAACCGCCCGTTCCGAACGGCGCTTCGTAGAACACGGCGTGTTTTCACGCCTGGCCAACCCTCTGGCCCCCCCAAGGGGTTGGACCCAAGCCTTCCAGAGGGTCCAACTGAGAGGTCTCCCTATTTTCATCATCATGTTCACCCTCCCCAATTGGAACTGCCACCACGCTCCGACCGGCCTAGCGACCAGAAACGCACCGGACTTGCCACCAACACAAGTCATAGCAAGGTCCAGCCAGCGCATCCTAGGCCAACCACGAGTACTAAGGAACCAGGGGCCCTTCGGAACCGGCCTATGGTTTTAGTCGAACTGGAACCCACTGGAACCCACTGGAACTCCCAGCGACATCGTGGCCTGGATGCCCTGACCCCCCCGGGCTATGAGAGTCCGAAACTCGACACGCCGACTGCCTCGGCGGAGCTCGGCCGAAGACTCAGGAGGAACTGAGCGCCACTCGAGCAGGAACTGACCCGCCGGCCCCCCCCGCTTCACCACCTCGAGCAGGTCCGGCGCTCCACAGATCCCACTGGCCCACCTTCCAGTCTGCCGCAGGTCCGCAGGCAACGCCACCGTCGCCTGGGTGGTCGAGCGGTCGAAGAAACCAGGAAGGAGAAACCTCCAACGACCGAGATCATCTTTCCGACCGGTTTCCCGGGAGAAACCAGTGCAAATGATGGAAAGGTCCGTTCCAAAAGGATCGGTCCAAAAGAGTGGATCGGGTGTGCGAACGAGCCAAATGGCATGGAACATCCCGGTGACATCGAACGAAGAATCCTGAACTTGATTTTGAGAAGTGAGCAAATAAGTTCAATGGTAGGTAGTCGGAGATCGACACTGTGAACACCAGGAGCTTTCGGACTTCTTTCTTCAAATGAAGATCCTGTCAAATCCTCAAGCTTTTAAAAAAGAGATCCATAATTATCATAATTACCTACCAGCCCAACCGACATCCAGCTGGATTCCATCCTCTTCCAGTCTTCCAACTCCCGCCTCCATGTTGGGTCGGAGTGTCAAAGTGCCCAAGGGATGTCGAGCACTTTGGAAAAGCGCTTTTCCAGGAAAGCGTGATGCAGTCCGCAGAAATGCATGCGTCTTTTCTCCCCACCAATGGTCTACCTCTACCTGCCTTTGTGCTTCTTTTTTGACAAACAGCTCTGGTGCTGAGATGATTGCTTCTTTGCAGCCTCTTCGGACCTTTTTGGGATTCAAGCTTCTCACATAAGCGGCTGGCAGTTCTGCAAGGGTGCGTATCTTGAGCTTGGTAGTGGGGTGCAGACTAGAAGTCTGCAACAACTTACTTCATTAGCTTGTTGTCAGTGCTTCAACTTGCTGACATCTGCGTCCATAGACTGTACAGTCCATCATTTGCAAATGGTCGCCATGTTCCTCTTCAGCTGCACTTTGAGCCAACACGCGTGAGACGAGGTGGTTCTCAATGGACCTGGACTCGTTGCGATCGCCCCACATGCGCCCTTATTGCCCTAAAAAACTAAACATCATGAATTCAGGTGAGGACTGGGCATCCTGACAAGGTGCTCCAGAATCCAATTGCCTTGTCATATATGAGTTGACACTTCCTACGGAGGAACGGATGCAAATGGGATCCAAACCAACGTGGATTTGGAGCATGCCACATGTGCTGGCTGCAACATCTTTGTAGACCTGAAATCATTGAAATCCAAATGGCCCTTAGGTACTGGACCTGTTGATTCAGTAAGGGTTGCTTCGCAACGAACACCACAAAGATCATCAAAGCTGGGCCGCTTGACTTGAGTCCCACCTGGTTGTACTCATTGTTCAGCAGACGGATCTTGTCCTTGCCCTCAGGGCCCTCCTGCGCGATGCTGTGCGTGCGAGGCTGCGCCTTCGGCCGTCTTCCCGGCAAGGACCGCCCAATCAAATGGGATTCGTGTTCAGTGCACCGCCTCGTCCTGGAGTCTTGCAAGGCCATGGTCATCCTCTCGGGGTGGCAACTACAGCTCCTCACTATCATAGCGCAACGCGCAGCGACTACAGGCCCCCTCTACTCCCTGCTCTGCTACATGTGTTGATGAGGGTCTGTCTTTGCTCCGGGGCATACCCAAGGAGTCTTCTGCTTTGGGTCGTTGTTGGTTGGTTGTTCGCTTCAGCATGCGCGAGTCGCCATCGTTGTGACCAATCCGCACGCTGATGGATGATGGTTGGTGGTTCGTGGATCATTGCCAAAGAAAACTGAAGGCACGGTCAGAATCAACCTCAAGAAACAAAGAGCTGTGCCAGTGAATGTTGAGCTTTCCTGTTTTGTGGTCAAGGGGTTTTGCAGTTACACAGGACGAGTGTCAAGGGTTTCCGGACAACGCTTCGTCCCGTTGGGGGTCTCAGTTGGGAAGACATCTCCACTTGAAGATCAAGCGTTTCAGCTCGCGACGGACTGGTGAGTGCGCCCAATCTGAGTTGATTGAAATTTTGGTTGGAAAGTGTTTTTTCCTTTTTTCCATCATGGTCAAAAGTCAAGATGTGAGAAATCACTCAAATCGGTGGATCTTGGTGGTTGGGTTGCGCAGTACACCGCTAGTCACACGGGGACACCGCTAGACCGACTAGTCACGGCTAGCACGAACATAACCCAGACTTGCTCCAGCCGCAGCCCACAGTTCAAACTAGGGCCCCCCCACGTGCTTGAGGCACATCTTCAAGTAGCTCCACTTGCTCATTTCGTTGGTTGTGGTACCTGTCATCCGGTCGTGGTACGAAGGTCCAGTGGCGTGGGCCGTCCTACGGCGTGATGGAGTCATGATGGAAAAAGCCAGGAAAGGAGCCGAGCAAGACACGAACGAGACTTAGGGATGAGGGCAAAGTAGGGAATAGCTCTGACCCAAACCTACTGCATCAGTTGTTGGTTGAGGCAATCGCCCAGGTAGATTTCGGTGCCTCCAAGCCTACTCAGGCAGTTTGAAACGACATCCCAGTCGTAATAAGGGGGTGTGACAGGAACATGGTCTTCGAGAGGTTCACATGTGAGATATTTATGTACGAGAAAACGGAAAACGTTGCTTCTAGGTTGGAGGCCTTCGCTATTAGGTTGGAGGCCATCGCTAGTAGATTGGAGCCATCGCTATTAGACACAAAGAAAAAAAATGAAAAAGTAAAATAGTTAGACATCCCAAGACCCAGAAAGAAGGACAATAGACCAGTCTACCTTCTTTTTTTAGGTATCGGGGGGGTAGGTAGCTAGTAGAAGCTAGGGAGTCGCTAGTAGCTTAAGTAGCTACTACCTAGGAAGCAGGATAGCTCACGCTTGCACTATTCATGTGATTCCTAGATTTGGTGGGAAACTTAACTTGCATTACTGATATCATCTGATATCCTAATACTCTATTCTTGAATGCAACCGCATACGGTTGAGGGTGCTGTATCTATCGACCAAATAACCCATTTGAAGACCTGGCAACCAGTGTGGCAACCAGATCGACCACCTGGCCGGGCTTGGTTTTAGCCAGCTTCCGAAAGGAAACCACCTGGTGTGCATGGTCCAAAAGGACATAATGGTACTGCACCACAAACAAGACTAGGTTCCATGACTCGTCTTTTTCTCGTTTTTGTGTGGTTCTGTGGCTCCACATAGATCACAACTGCTCAACTTCCGGAGCTGTTGGTCAGCCGAGCCGGAGCTAATCCTCCTTCAATGGCAAAGATGCTCGTCCCTCACTTCATCCTGCGTTCGCCGCGGCCAATATTCTCCACCTGAACGAACCAGGTAAAGATGCCAACCAAAAAAGCCAAAGAGGACGATGCCCATGATGCAGCCTCAGTTGCTGAGTCTTTTTTCTGTAGATTGGTAGACACATGGCAAACCTATGAAACCAAATATGATTGTGTGACAATATTATACATGTAGCACCTGGTTGTTTCCTGGCAAACATTTAAAGAATTCAAGATTGCGTTATTTTTAGCATCAAATATAGAAACCTCGATGGTCGCGGTTCCCAAAATGTGAAAACCAACCCAGTTTTATACACAACTGCCAGCGATGATTTGGGTGACACAAACCATCATCCTCCAAAACCTGGCTTCATCTCATGAGACATCAAGAAGCCCTCTCGACCCAGGTCAAAAACCGCTGTGGCTTTGTTGAAACCCAATCACGTTGTGAGCTGAAACCTCTTAGCACTGTCACGGGATCTTTGAAGACTGGTTTGGTCCCGGTTTCCACATGTTTGCACCAACCGTTGTTTTTCAGAACCATGGGGTGAGCCGCCTTCCCTGATTTCGCGCCTGCGCCTTGCGTCTTAGCCTTCATCGTGTCGTCTTATCCTTCATCCCTCCGAATTCACTCGGACCGAACACGGACCGAACTCGCTTGGAGCTGGTAAAACCGGCGGCCAAGCTGCACAGAACGCATATGAAGACCACCATGCCCTCACGGGCTCTCGAGCTCGGGTCAAGAGGTCGAGCTCAGGGGTCGATTATTCACGAATACTTACTATTGTCCTGGAGGTATGGTTGAGGGATCAAAACAAGTTGACAAGCACAACAGAATGTGGTCAGGGTTTCAAAGAATTCAAAACTGATTGACATCTAAAGAGTTACCCAGTCCCTACTGATCGTACAGGTGCTTGTGCAGGCCTGGTGGTGCTTGCAGCACTTTTGGGGTTCTGAGTGTCTCAACCGCTGGGCTTTGGGTAGGTGAGCGTTTGACCATGTGACCTACGACAGCATGTACAGCACTGGCTGGTAGAAATGGGGATCACTCTGAATGTCGTTGCCAAAAAGAGCAAGTGCATGGATCAAATGGCTGGTTGAAAATCCACATGTTCAGTTGGTCTTGGGACTAAACAGACATGCATTGCGGCAAAGGTTCCAAACATATCCAAACTCTCCACCGTTCGCCCGTTCAGCTCGAACCCAAACCCAACAACCGGCCACACAAAATAGGTCTTGAGCAGACCCTTTCCGTCGTCTTCTTTTGATCATCCATCCTTCCAACCCCCAGTCGTCGCCCTCTTTTCTTCACATCCAGCCCCCATCCAAGCCCCCCCCTTCGCCCGCGCATGCACCGCCCAACTTGAGCCGCGCACGAAACCTGTGGGTGTTTCACGACGTTCGACGCGCTCGTTCGGCGGCTCCTCGGTCGCTAGGAGGTACTGTCCCACCATAAGCTTCGTGGCGGTGAAGCGCTCCTGGAGCGAGCGCACCGAGAGAGGGGTGCGGGGCCCGCAGGGTCTGGAGGGGGCTGGGGCTGATGGTGAAGAGGAGGAAACCGGGTGGCCCAAATGGAGCAATTTCGGGGATCTCCAAGATCTCTGGTTGCCCATTAAGGGGGATCCCTATGGATGAAAGGTTCAGATCCGCTCGGCTTCTTGAAAGCTTTTTCGGGACGGGATGGGAGGCCAAGCCCGATGGTGCCTGGTGTGAAAGACCGGTCAGGCACCTTGGTGAGAGACGAAGGAAATCAAGTTGTACAGGTACGGGGGCCTGGTTTCACCCTGTTTCACCATGCTTCACCCTTGTTCTTTCCCCTTCAGCATCCGGAACTCAAGGGCTTGGAGGATGAGATTCTCCAATTTCTGCACCCCCAACAAATGGCAAGCCGAAGAAACCACTGCAACTCGCATTGGTGAAAAGTGCAAAAACATGCGTGCAGTGTTCAGAGCGATCCTTTTGAAGATTCACGTGGGCGGCGACGGTGATTCGATCATGCAGATTCATGCGGGGTGTGACCTACGTCTCGGCCTCTTGGCCTGCCAAGGGTCCAGGATTGGATGTTTGTGGACAAATGACCGTCCTGCGAATGCTTCACCAGTCTAAATCCTCTGATACTCCAGCACATCCCTCTAGTGACCACATCTATTGCCTGGGCATGAACAAATGCTCCTGAGTGTCTGGTCTCACAAAGACTGCCGAGAAGAGCTCCTTGGAAACCTCAGACCGCAAATCCCAAGAGTGGCAAAGCGGCAAAACCCTCCAATCGGCCCTATCGTGGCCCTATGGCCTAGTCATAGCCATAGGGGCCTACCAAGTTGAGAAACAAGTTTGATTGCAGGATCCTCCTCAGCTTTTGTTCCGATCACACCGCAGCCCCACCGCATGGTGTGTTCTACTCCACGAACAAGAACGCCTGGCATTGGTGGCTCTTGGAGTCCTGAATTCCGTTGCATCGACAGCCGAGATGCGTGCGAGGTTGGGGGTGTCCGAAGCGATGCGGATGCTCGTTCCTTTGGGTGCCCGAACCCTAAAGATTCCTCAGCTCCATCAAGGAATGTTCTATTTTCACCAGGTGTGGTTGATCCAGACCTGCGCTGTTCGACCCGGCGGCTTCCTCCCCAGCTAGAGGGCGCTTAGCCCCCCGCCACGATCTCATACAGGATGGTTGCTGTCAAGCCTCTGTGTGGGGCGTGAGGAGTTTGGGGGGAAGTGACTTCTCTATGTGGGGATCAGGAGATCGCTGTGTTAATACATGTTAATATAATATATATATATATATACCTAGAACCTGATTGACCCCTGTTTTGGAGCCAAAACATGGTTTTTTCCTATCAAAACAGAGGTCACATGGGTTCTAGGTATATATAACTTATAATTGTTAGTAAGATTGTTATCAGAAGATCGCTGTTAAGTGTTAATACTTGCATTCATTTGCCATCTTGGAGTATTCACCATCTCAATCTGACAACCCGAAAACAACCAAGGTCCAATGGCCCAAATGGGTATAAGGATAGGCCCGAAGGGAGCCGGACCGAAGTCCAAGCTACAGCTTTCTATAGACTTTGCTTTGTCTTTTACTGAGAATTGGAAGCTGAGACTTTGTATAGTTTACCATCTACCTTTCCGTACAAGTATTGTTTTATGTTTAATGTTCTTTGTCTAGTCTTTGACTCCCAAGGTGAGTCAGGCAAGCACCCTACCCAAGAGCAAGAAGGGATCTGTTTCACATTGTTCCACCTCCACCGCAAGGACTTCGGCTTGTCAAATCCTCCAAAGGTCGCCCCAAGCAGGTTCCTGCGGTCAAAACCCCTATATATATATATATATATAGGGATCCACGGTTTGTAGGGTGAGGTTTTGACTCACACCCACATGGCTCTACTGCAAATGAATCTGTCTCAACACTTCTGTCTTCTATATTGCCCCCCTTCATGCACCATCACTGAAGTGTCCACTTGAAAGGGCTAGCCAGCCATGACGCCAAAGCCGTAGAAGCAAATGACCAGGTGAATGCCCAGGAACCTCAGATCCAAAGCACAGTTTTACGTCCTCTTAAGACAAGTGAACACTGACTCTGGGACTGCTAGTTCCATCTGTTACTAAGACACCTCTAATGACTTGGGCTCTCTGCAGGTGCTCAAAGGTGCGCCAAAACGGGACCATGGGATCCGGGACCACGTAGACTTGGGGTGGAAGGCGACACCTTTTTTCGTTCCATGAACCCGATTCTGCCATCAATTTGATGGAAGAAGCTTGATAGTAGCTTGAAGCTAGCGAACTAGATGAAAAGGGGACAACCTAAGTGGTAATTCACCACGTTGATCAACAAAACCTCTCTCCCTAGAGTTTGTAGGATCAAAATCCTGAGGAGTCCCGCTACACAATCCAACTCGTCTGTCTAAGATGTCTCTGCTAAGAATTCTCTGCCCTTTGCCTTGTGAGAAAACTCGAAACCGATCCTTTTTCAACACTCAGACCATGTTCAGGCTCCATGCACCAGTGACAACGAACCACTAGCGGCGATGGCTCCTTACGCCCCATGCCACGCGGCAAAGTTGCTTTGCAGCCCGAGGACCCCAAGAAGTAGCGATGGTTTCCGACGCCCACGCAGTTGTTGATCCAAATGCAATGGTGATCGAACCTGACGTGGGAACTCACCATCTGAGGAAAAACGCATCTGAGTAACAAAGGACATTGTACTGGGAGCAAGGACGCTACTAGTAGCTCCTGGCATTACTACTAGGAGCAAGAAGCTACTAGGGGCTCCTGGCATCGCTACTAGGAGCAAGAAGCTACTAGTTACTAGGAGCAAAGGGCATCGCTACGAACGGAGAAGTTGAGTTGAGTCGGTTCAATGGATCACCCACGAAGGAAAGGGTGTCACGTTTGGAGGGGAACATCTTCTCGGGGGAGTAGACACCAATTCACGCCCAGGCAAACATTTTAGCCCTGGCTGTGAGACTCAATGGTGACGTTGTGGGATACTCACATGCATGGCCTCCTCTTAGCCATTCGCCAAGCGTTTCTGCTGCAAAACCCATCCTGAACACTCCAACCTTTAGGCTTTTCTGAGCGCAGAAACCACCAACGAGACCATGTCACCGAGTTGCGTGCTTGAACCAAGAGAGGTTTTGAGGTCGACCTGAACGTTCGGATGGTCTGTGTGGTACAAGACTGGGAAATGGGCGCTGACGGGCTGTTCAGACCTCGGAACCCACGAGGTCCGATCCCCTGCCTGGCAACACAGCGCTGGCACAAGGAGCAGTGCTTGGAGCGTGCCGGCTTCACCAAATCACAGGAGCGGCACTTGGACATGTGGAAGATCAGCTCGTCCCACTGGCAGGATTGTGAAGAGGCGGTGTGTTTTGAAGATCCTGACGGTCAGCATAGCTCAAAGGTGCTGAAAGGCTCATCCATCCATTTTTGTGGCCATCCCAAGTATTTCAGCCTCCACGCAGGGGGGGCTGAAATGGGCCCGTGGAATCAAGGTCCAAGGGTCCAAGGGTTCGGTGCGCACCTTTGAAAGGGGTCCTTTTCGCCTGTGGCGAAGGTTTTTTGCGACGTTCGGACGTCAGCCCGGGTCTCGATGTTGGTCTCGGTGGTCAAAAAAGGGTTGACTAACATGAACGGGGTCTATAAGGAACGGATGTCAAATCTACCACAGGATGAGTGGAGGAGGTGCCATGACTCGAGAGCCATATGTTCAGATGCTTCTTTGATGCGTTCCGTTCGTTCCGTCTGGGATGTCACAATCTCCATGCACTGGTCGTCAGTCCGTGGGCGCTCCGGGGCTTTCTCGGCACTTTACAGTAGTATCCAAGATCTTCCTACCATAGTGAAGCTGATCCATGGTGAAACTGATCTTCTGCCCCACCCTTTTCACATGCCATCTGCATAGTCATTGTAGCCACGGAACATGGCTGATTCGACATGCGAGATTCGGAACGGATATTGATTTAACGTTGGCACCTATGTGCCAGGAGGCCGCGACAAGCCAATGACAAGAAATTGACCGGGAAAGGTGCGGCGCTTGGAGGTTGGCATCTAATTGTGCAGGTGGCTCTGCGAAGTGCTCAGGGCTAAAAGAACTGATCAACCCCCAAAACAATATATAAAGTGTGTCTAAACATATATTATACATGCACGTATGCTCCTCCCGCACATGTTGTAGCGCAAAAAAAGACCCCAAGCGAGAAAAAGAAAAAGGAGGAATATCCTGTTGTCGTATCCAGATAATTAATTCCTGGATGGTGTTTTCAACCCACTTGAAACATATGAGTCAGAGGGTCCAATCCTCCCCAAGTAAGGGTTGAAAATGAACATATCCGAAACCATCACCTAGATTCGGAATACCCCTCACAACCTCCGATGTTGGGCGCCTTAGAAGTACCCTCCGCTTTCACCTCCGACTGCGGCCGCGCCTTCCAAACATCACACACCAAGTCCACGTTCTCCGCGGTCACTGTGCCGGGGTCCGTCTGGCAACGCAGCAAGTGGTTCCGGCCGCCCGGACGATTCCACCAGTGAAAAAGCAGCGGATTCCAGAAGCTCCCAAGACATCCCAAGACGAGACGTTAGCTAATGGGTGGACACCACTGTGGACACCTATATATCCAAGGGGTGGATGATAACCCAAGTTGCGGAAAGCTGAAAGTCATGCGATCAGCAGGAAATCCAGAAGGATGGCAAAGAACAGGTTGCATCTTTGCTTCGTACCAGAACAGGCATCTTCCAGGACGCCCAGCGTTTTGGTGTCCAAGTGGCTGTGATTTTTTCCAAATGTATATGATATACTATATATACTATTGTTCAAAAATAGGCCGTGGATCTTTTTGGACTAGTAGCACCTGTAGCTTCACCCAGCATGTTCTGTCTTCCCTCCGGACTTCCTCCAGGTTCAACCGAAAACGCGACGGAACACTCCTCCCCTCACATGCCATGATCAGCGGTCGCTGGGCCATCCGACGGTGCAGGCACGCCACCAAACGGCCAAGCACAAGGAGAAGATCCCGAAGCCAATGTACTTGTGGATCGAACTAATGAACCTCCAGGCCGATCTGGGAGTGTTTCTGTGTTCCAGGCCGGTTCGGGCTGACCATGGGTGACCCGTAGGCCAACAAAGTGGGTTTGGGTCTCTTTCTTCCTCTTCCAGTGGGTCCTTGCGGGGTCTCTCTGATTGAATGCACACCCATCTACAGCAACCGTTGGAGCCTATGCAGGCAATAGCAAATTTACATTTAAGAGTTAAGAGTAAACTTTGCAGTAAGTAGTAGGAGTAGTAGTAGTAGTAGTAGCAGTAGTAGTAGTAATAATAGTATAGTATAGGCTAAACCACCTGTCTTCTTTGCACCCAGTTGCCGCGAACATTCGACGACCTCAAAAAACGTCGCTCCCAACGACAACACGAGCCGACGTCAACACGACCGGACGGGACGGAAGACACGAAGGATGGCTCGCCTGTTGGGCAAATGTGGATGGCTGTAAGCCACGAAGGTCGCATAGCTGCCCACCACGACCAGCAACTGGGTGGTGCACAAAGAGAGCGCGTCGGCTCGAGCCGAGGGGTTCGAGTCAGAGGGTTGGAAAAGGGGGCGTTCCTCCGTGAGTTGAAAGAAGCGAAGGAGATCAGATTTGCTTCTATACTGTATACAAGAAGTTCAGAAGACCTGAGACTAGTAGAGAGAAATTGGGAAAAGTGCTTGTTGAGATTCTGAAATGATGAGGCATTGAGCCCACACATGGAACCATAATGAACCGTATTGATCCATATTATTCAACATTATTGAACCACTTCTCATTCCATTTGGTCTTGTTTGGCTGCGCACCATCTTCGAAAGGCAGCTCATTTGGAAGGTCGATGTGCAAGCCCTAGGATTCCGGGCCCACCATTGATTTAATAGGTGGAACCATCCCCAACCAGGATCTTTCTACTCATGTTACATGTTACATCATGTTACTCATCTTTTTTCACAAGACCGGTCAACTGAACTTTTTTTTCATGGTAGCCGTGACTTGGGCTGTGAGCACGAACGCGAGCAGTCTGGGGCACTTGAGAGAGGAGGGGGTGAACGAAAGGTAGCAGGCAATCACAAGCAACCCTGGTAAAAGTCCATGACGGCGTGAACCGGTGGAGGGGGGATTTGATCCAGGGGGGGGGGCCACCCCCCCCGACGAACAGAATCAACTCTTACAGGACCAAACTCAATGCACAATCCCAACTCCGGATTGTAATACATTTTTGCTAAAGCAAGGAGAACTCAGGTAGCTCAAGCTACCTTTCGTGATAAGCTTCGGAGATCAGATCAGCTCTGTGTCCCAGCTCGACATCCCCTGTGCAAGAAAAGTAACAATATCCCTAGAAGTCCAAAGACTATTTTCGGCACCGTGCAAGTAAAGGAAGTTCCTTTTCGGATCACCCAAAGACCGTTTCAAAAATGGTCTTGGACTCCCAGGGATATGTAACAATAGCCTGTCCTAGACTCCTAGACTCTTGGAGCTCGTCAATGCCTGCTGTGAAGTTGACGTCCCAAAAAAGACGTCCCGTGTCCGAACACCCTGGAAGCTTCCTCGGAGTTCTGGCTCGAGCGGCGTAGAAGAGCTGCACCAGGGGGGTTGCTGGTGTAGCAGACGTAGACCCAGGCAGCATCAAGACAGGCAGGGGCACGCTTGCCGAAGCACTTCTCCAAAGCCTCCCAGCACGCTGCCCCCCAAATGACACACCGCAGCTTGAGACCCAACGCGTCAAACCAGCCGTTTGCACTCACGACATAGCTCCGTGAGACTCGACTGCGGTTTGACCATCATCCCCACGGGCTCAAAAAAAATGGGAATCAACCCAACCAACCACACAGTCCCAAACTACACCAAATCCACCAGAGCACGGTTCATGGAGTCTGGCACACTTCACCATCTTGGAGGGATCAACTAAAGGTCACATCAAGAGGCGATGTGATGTGATGTGATGTGATGTGATGGAGGGAGGGAGAGAGAGAGAGGGAGAGATGGAGTACTCTCTGACGTCGTGGAAACTCAGCACCGAAAAGTCTATCGGGTATTCCGCCAACTTGATGGCTTGAACAGGCGGTCTTACCGGCCAGTGAGCAAGCTGCACAGTTAGACAACCAGTTAGACCACCTTTGCACATCCAGTTTCACCACCCGATGGCCGCTTCACCCGCTGCACCCGCTGCGCGCCTTCTTCAGCAGCCGAGGGACGTGCATGCAGAAGATCCGATAGAGCCGATCCTCGGGTCAGCGGATCCCGGTCGAGGATCGAACGTCGCGGATCGAAAGAAGGGCGGAGAGGGAGGCGGAGGGACAAAGGGAGAACGGTGGAGGAGGCGGATCCCAAGTTTCGCCAGGCATGATGTTGGGGTCCGGAGACCGGAGTGAGTGAGGAGATGTTGGGCTGCCTTGTGCTGCCTAGGGGAACTATGAATGGCATGCATAGCAGGATGGTCTTCCCATCTTCCCTCTTGCGGTGGCTGGCGGACACCTGCTTGTTTCCACACTTGGATGGCTTCAAGACTTGGGAATGTTGTTTAATTACTTCAGGAGTCTGCACGGGCGCAGGGTGGATTGTAATCACTTGTCAGATCTGCAGCTTGTTTGGAATATGGTCTGAGGGTGAGGGAGACCATAAAGCTGCTTTGCCGAGCGACAAAGATCGAGTTGCCATGCTCCTTGCCCCAAAGAAAGACGCCTGGCACGCTGCGGAACCGCAGGAACACCGCATGAACACACATGCGGTTCCGAACGCATGCAGGGAAGGAGGACAATGGCACCCATGAGGAGGATTGAGGAGAGAGAGTGTCTTCCAAAGCCTGAAAAAGTCCTTGATGCCAAATGAGTGGTTAGTGACATCCCAAAATCCTCTCCAAGGAAGGCTCCCAAACTATCACAGAGCCAACATCTGGCATTCAATTCAGCCCTTCTTCTCAAGGGATCCAGACCCGATCCCTTGGTCACCTTTTTGCATTTCCGTCGTTTGTAGACCGAATCTGCCATCGTTTCTTGTAAGTTTTTTACACCATGAGCTTGGGGCATCTGCACCCCGTGGTGCGAAACCTGAGCTTGGCGTTTTCTCGGCGTGACAGCTGCAGCCACGGTCCGTGCGGACCACCGTGCGGGCCACCGTGCGGTCGCCGTGCGGACCGAACAAGCGTGGCGAGCACACAAACACCTCCTCCACCCACAATGATGTATCCCGCAATGGTCCAATAGAAGACGCTCATGGTGCCGGAAGGACGATGCAACGCTGAGTTTCGCACTGAAGAGCTTGGCTTCACAACTTGTCAAAGTTCATACTGTAGTATATAGCTTGTCAATGTGTCCGAAGAAACCAGGTTCTATGACGAAGAAACCTGGCAGTTGCGCGCTTTCGCATTGAAACATCCTGTTCAACGACACTCCAGCATCTGCCTTGTTGGGCTTTGGAGATTAAAGCAAGTATGTGCTGGCCTGAAGTTGAAAAAAAACAGCAGTATGTGCGTGATGTTTGAACCTGAGGGCAAACACCTGAAGGTCGAAAAAACATGAACAATAAAGGTCCATGGTTTCTACACCTGATCACTACAAGTGATACAGTACCGTTTTTTTAAGTGATACTCCAAAGTAATACAGTACTCCTTTTTTCTGGTTCCGCCATTCAGCTTCACAATGCATCTCAGTGGAATCTCTGTGTGGCCCACGTGGACGAGCCAAGAGGCATCCATGCGAGGGTGACCAAGTGGACTTGGCGTGTTCACGTGAGGAATCGAAACTTGGAGATTCAAGGCCTCGAAAAAAACGGGACCGGAATCCGTGGGTGTCTTTATGCTTCTTTACCACGGGTTCCACCTCGAAAAAACCCGTGCGTCAGGAGTCTTCAGGAGTCCCGCCGCTGGGCCACCAGTCGACCACGAACCGCACCGATGTCACGAGGGGCGGACATCGGCGGCGAGGCGGCGACATCGACCGTGATGGTTCACGTGTGAGGAGACTGGACCTGGATGAAGAAACGTCCTCCGTCTGTGCCAGGGGAGGAGACCTCATCTGTGCATCAGTGATCTCTTCATCTTCCACTATAAATTTCACCTACGTTCTCAGAAGGTACGTATTGACCCTCCTAACCGCGCCGATATCAAAGCGTCTGCAACGATTCTCCCTAGAGGGTGGCAGTAGATCCATGAGATTCCTATATAATTTTGGCTAAATGTTATATATAGGATTATATAGGAATCTCATGGAGAACCCAATCTGTATCCTATATACTATATATCGTAGAATCTCCATTGGAATCTCAGTGGAATCTGAATATACTATATCGTTGGAGAACCCAATCCCCACTCACTCCGTCGCCCACGAAACTCCGAGATTTTCGTTCCCACTGCGAGGAGCGAGGGTGAAACCGTGCAATGAACGTGTGTGGGACGAAAAATGTGACTATATAGAGTTTCTTGGTCTTTTGTCCTGAAAACCATGATATATAATATATACTACACTACAATGCAGAACTGGCCTTGCAAGAACACTTGGGCTTCATGATGCTTCATGAAATCTGCTGAAAGTCACGGACTGTGGCAATCCCCATGCTGGCTTTGGACATCTTCCCGGTCATCAACTTGTTCCAAAGGTATTATTGTTGATAGCCGTGAAACTCTGGGTGAAACCACCCGAACTGATTGCGCGTGAAGAAGTTGCGTCTGAAGAAGATTCTCAGCTTCGCACAGTCATGCTTCCAAGACTTGTGCAGCGCATATCCATGCCAACCTGTGCGAGGGAGATACATCGCGAGCCAAAGTTTTAAACAAACGTTGTTTCAACCCCAACAAACACCGTGCAAAGAAGATTGTTTGTTTTGCGAACAAAAACGAGGGTTTCAAACCTCGCCTCCCCGGCCTGCGGGCGGGGGGGGGGGGGAAACAAACTAACTCTGGAACGGAAACTTCGTTAGTTTCGGGGGCAAAAAACAAAGGTTTAAAACTTTAGTTTTATGGGCAGAAACTAAGGTAATGTCTGCGACAGACTTTCGACTGCGTAAAATCTGTGTTTCGAAACCCCGAAACTATAGATACAGGAGTTTGTTTCGCGGCAGTGAAACTAAAGTTTTTTGGAGAGACTGTTTCTTAATCGTGTGTGCAAGGAAGCACGCCAGCCTCCTTTCTACTCGGCCAGCCTCACAGAAAGCGCAGTCGTATTGGAAAGCTCCATGGGCACATTTTGAAACCTAGCTGGAAGGATTTCCTTGTAAGTTGCTGTGGGGGGGGCTGCGCCCCCCCCC